TAGCTTTCTTAGTTTGTAGTTATCTTCTTCCGGAGTCCGTGTTCATCTATCTAAATGAGCTCCTCCCTAAGATTATTCCATCAAAAACAACTACAAAGATAGTGTGAGACCTACGACTTAATTACTATTTTTTTGAATAAAAAATTTCAATTTTTGTGTAGATCTTCATCCTTCATGCAACATATCTTCAAGCATATGTAATTTTAATACAAGAAATTGTCATTTCATAATCTAATCCAAATCTTCTCTATTAAAGCACAACATTACAAAAGGAAAAACTTTTGACAAACAATTCAAGAAATTATCATCAAAAGCCTATCAAAAGAAAAAAATAATAGCAGCCTGTAGACATTGAAATTTTGTGGGATTCCACAAGACGTGTTCAATTCAAATTGGGACTCTAGAAGGTGTTCAGTTTCAATTAGAATTCTTGGAGGCTACTCAACTATAAACCCTAGTTCATGCCTACATAAAGGGTACTAAATTCCCTTAAAAGGCATCTCGAATATTCTACAAATTGATGGAATATTCATATAGAGGTCAACTCTAAATCATCCTAGTTCGAGAAATACGCCACAAACGGCCCTCGAATCATGGTTAAATCTTAGGAGAGTAGAATCAAGGGAGGAACTGAATTGTACCCGCAATCTTGATGAATAAAATTATGTTTCTTCATATTTTATTTGTGATTGTAATTTATTTTCTGTCACTTTAAAATTTGTTGCAAACACAGCCCAACAAATCTAATATAAAATACAAAGCCAAAAAATAAAGCACAAATATATACAAAATAAAAAGGGACTTTCGGCAATTAACTATATGAATTATTACTGAAAAGTATGTAAAACAACGCATAATATTACAACTCATTATCCTAAAAGAATATATATATATATATTAAGTTTAACTTCAAACTATTCAAACTATCGAATTCTGTTGAATCGTAAACTGAGGTTGAATTCCCCGAAAGGAACAAAGACCATATTAGGCATGGTATTGTTAGGAAATATTGAATTATTTGAAATTAACTTTAAGAAGACTCAAAAAGTGGATATAAATAATTCCCATTCCATCTAAAATGAAAGGTTGTTTCTACTTACTCCATTTGGCTATGCCAGGATGCACATATACTCACCTTTTCATAAAGCTAAACATTATTGTGTCACATATATATACTTATTATATTACTTATATTGTCACAAATGAATTCGAAATATCTCACTTTTATAAAAAATTGATGTAATAGGTACTAGTTTGTCTTTTGTAAATTGTAGATTGAATTTATTTTATTCTTAATCAGGTGTCTCACGTTCTAAGCGTATAAATATAAAACATCTTAAAAGGAAGTGCTTTACTCCTTAGTAAATCTATCTGATGCAAATTTGACTGACTACTTGGTTATATGATAATTTGGTTGCAAATAACTAGTCTCCCATGGATTTATGGTCTCATCAATCAATAAGTTGTATCTTATTGTGTGATACAGAGACGAATTCCGGATCTAGAGTTAGTGAGTTTAAAACGTATGTGATCTTATTATACGTATATACTTTACTTTTTAACATATTTACATAGTTCGAGTCGGAAACAATAATTTCACTTGAATCAGCTAGCATCATGATCACAAGTTAAGATATAAGATATAGTATATAAGTTAAGCATATTAATTGGCTTTACAATCTTGATCTTTGTGAAGCCAAATAAACAAGCATATTAATCCTACACATGTCAACATTTTTGAAAAGTCCGAACAGGCGAAGAACATAGTCTGACAATTTTTATTACCCAAAAAGAAATCATCCTTTAGTTTGCATTATTAGCCTCTCTTTTGGCCAAATGTAACTTTAGTATCTCAACAAGTTTCTCTGGCTCCAACATAGCACCTTTAACAAATTTGTCTTCCAAGAACCTATCACCCCAATTAACCAATCCAGGGGTCTTTGTTACATTAAATATTTCAATTCCTAACATAATTTTTATTGCTTTTATCCAACCCAAAATACACCCTAAAGTAATGTCTATGTAACCAATATTGTCACCACCAAAAAAAGATTTCCCTTTGCTACACTTAACAAATGCCTCTTCTAAAGGCACCAATGCTTCTTGTAATTTCTCTTGTACTTCTAATTTTGCTTCTTCTCCTTGTGCTTTTCCAAGGTCAGACATCAAAGGTAACCACTGCAAGTGTAGTCACAAATTTATTTTCGTCTCGTCATAAAAGTAATTGAACTTTACTCACTATGACAGTACGTTTACTTACGTACAAGGCTATATTTTTAAGTCACGTTAAAGTGATTGAACTATGTAATAAATTGCTCGAAAAAATACAAATGATTGGAATGTTAATTTTTAGCTTGGAAAAATAAAAGAATTTTGACTAACCAAATAATGATCATTCATGTTGGTTAGAAGTAGAACAAACCAAAAGTACTCTTTAATATTGTCCATTTTGAGTCAAGTCTGAACGATTTTCCTTGAAATGCCTCACATTGTTAAAAGTATCCTACACCTAATATGTAGATTCATTTTTTTTAACGATCAATGTGGGACTTTGTACGTACATCCAACAACTTAGTGCATCCGGTTATTGATATTGTTTGAGCAAGTTACATAGTTCGATTACTTTAATGTGACAAAAAAAATAGTTTGTGTTGAAAGTAATACCTTGTCATCTATGTAGGCAACCCAAAACCTAGCGATGGCACGATCAAGGGGGTTAGAAGGAAGAATCGAGGGTCCATTAGTCCACGTCTCATCGATGTATTGGACGATGACTAAGGACTCACAAATAGTGTTGTCACCATGAATGAGTACTGGGATTTTCTTATGAACAGGGTTGGATTTAAGAAGAAGTTCACTTTTATTAGACATGTCTTCTTGAATAAATTCATAATCCACAGACTTGACATTAAGAGCAATTAAAACTCTATTTGCAAATGGACTTGCTTGTGTACCTAGAACCTTAACAATACTTGTTGCCCTGACTAAATTGTTGTTGTTAATTTACTAGGTGGATACAAATGTTTAATGAAACACAATGTTGATGATCAAAGATTTATATGCTTTGGCAACTTAGTAATTCACTCCAAGAATGGCATTTACTAAGAAGTAAGAACTTAGGTGGTATCACACTAATGTTGAATATTTATTTAGGTCGTTTGGTATGCCGACTAAATTATCCTGAGATTTATAATCTTTAGACTAATTTATCCCACCTGAGAGATGGGATAAAATAATTTGCAAGTTGGATGGGAAATAAAATTTATAATGTGTTTGGTAGATGGTATAAATTTGTCCCAGGCTTAATCTTGGAATATCTCACCTTATCCTGCGTGCCAAACGATTATAATTTTAAGCAAACGTAGAATACTAAATTTCATTTTGGCACTCCAACTCAACCTTGTTCCATTTTAACCCTTCAACTCCAATTTTCATGCTCCATTTTGGTACTTCTAAGTGATGTGACACAATATGTGCATTATACTTTCTCTAAGAGAGTGAAAGACAAAAAAAAGTATTTTTTTTTAAAAATAATAAAAGATTACCCTTAAACTATATTTCTTTTATGTACCATTTAACACAAAATAATATTTTTATAATTTTTTTATTTCTATATATGTTATTCAACTGCAATTTTGCATTTTAAAAATAAGCGTTCATCCATTAGTTATTGTAAAAAATTAAAATTGACGGATGATCATTGATTTTTTTTATATAAAAAAAAAGTAAGTTATTTTTAAGAGTTTCCCTATATTTTTGCGTGAAAAATAACCGACGAAAGTGCGTCGATTTTCTTTCTTAAAAAAATCAATGACAACCCAACGAAATCTATTGAGTTTCAACATTTGTAGTGTTATTAGCTAGCAATGATAATGAGTTTTTTTTACTCGTATTTAGTTGAATGAAAAATTAGAAAGCTGATATTTGAGTTAGTCCAAATACACTAGATATGGAAAAAAAATATGTGGTGTTATTTAATTTAATTAATTGTTTAAAAAAAAAAAACTCACTTTCGTCGATTATTTTTTCACAAAATAATGTACAGAAACTCTAAAAAATATTATTTTAAAAAAATGATGTTCATCCATTATTATTTGTTTTTTCAAAAAAGAAGATATGATGTTGATTTTTAAAAATGAACATCATATGTACATTATTGTGTGAAAAAATAATCAACGAAAGTGTGTTGGTTTTCTTTTTTAAACAATTAATTAAATTAAATAACATCACATCACATATTTTTTTTCCATATCTTCTCGATTTGGACTAACTCAAATATCAACTTTCTAATTTTTTATTCAACTAAATACGAGTAAAAAAAAACTCATGTTCATTGCTAATTAATAACACTACAAAAAAATATTGAAATTCGATAGACTTCGTTGGGTTGTCATTGATTTTCTTAAGAAAGAAAATCGACGCACTTTTGTCGGTTATTTTTCACGCAAAAATATAGGGAAACACTTAAAAAGAAATTTTTACTTTTTTTAATTAAAAAAATCAATGACCATCCGACAATTTTAATTTTTTTACAATAAATAACGAATGAACGCCAATTTTCAAAATGCAAAATTGCAGTTGAATAACATATATAGAAATAAAGAAATCATAAAATTAGTATTTTTGTGTTAAATGGTACAGAAAAGAAGTAGAGTTGAAGGGTAATCTTTTATTATTTTTAAAAAAATACTTTTTTTGTCTTTCACTCTCTTAGAGAAAGTGTGATGCACAGCCTCTTATTATACGTATATACTTTACCTTTTAACAAATTTACATAGTTCGAGTCGGAAACAATAATTTCACTTGAATCAGCTAGCGTCAAGTTAAGATATAAGATATAGTATATAAGTTGAGCATATTAATTGGCTTTACAATCTTGATCTTTGTGAAGCCAAATAAACAAGCATATTAATCCTACACACATGTCAACATATTTGAAAAGTCCAAACAGGTGAAGAACATAGTCTGACAATCTTTATTACCCAAAAAGAAATCATCCTTTAGTTTGCATTATTAGCCTCTCTTTTGGCCAAATGTAGCTTTAGTATCTCAACAAGTTTCTCTGGCTCCAACATAGCACCTTTAACAAATTTGTCTTCCAAGAACCTATCACCCCAATTAACCAATCCAGGGGTCTTTGTTACATTAAATATTTCAATTCCTAACATAATTTTTATTGCTTTTATCCAACCCAAAATACACCCTAAAGTAATGTCTATGTAACCAATATTGTCACCACCAAAAAAAGATTTCCCTTTGCTACACTTAACAAATGCCTCTTCTAAAGGCACCAATGCTTCTTGTAATTTCTCTTGTACTTCTAATTTTGCTTCTTCTCCTTGTGCTTTTCCAAGGTCAGACATCAAAGGTAACCACTGCAAGTGTAGTCACAAATTTATTTTCGTCTCGTCATAAAAGTAATTGAACTTTACTCACTATGACAGTACGTTTACTTACGTACAAGGCTATATTTTTAAGTCACGTTAAAGTGATTGAACTATGTAATAAATTGCTCGAAAAAATACAAATGATTGGAATGTTAATTTTTAGCTTGGAAAAATAAAAGAATTTTGACTAACCAAATAATGATCATTCATGTTGGTTAGAAGTAGAACAAACCAAAAGTACTCTTTAATATTGTCCATTTTGAGTCAAGTCTGAACGATTTTCCTTGAAATGCCTCACATTGTTAAAAGTATCCTACACCTAATATGTAGATTCATTTTTTTTAACGATCAATGTGGGACTTTGTACGTACATCCAACAACTTAGTGCATCCGGTTATTGATATTGTTTGAGCAAGTTACATAGTTCGATTACTTTAATGTGACAAAAAAAATAGTTTGTGTTGAAAGTAATACCTTGTCATCTATGTAGGCAACCCAAAACCTAGCGATGGCACGATCAAGGGGGTTAGAAGGAAGAATCGAGGGTCCATTAGTCCACGTCTCATCGATGTATTGGACGATGACTAAGGACTCACAAATAGTGTTGTCACCATGAATGAGTACTGGGATTTTCTTATGAACAGGGTTGGATTTAAGAAGAAGTTCACTTTTATTAGACATGTCTTCTTGAATAAATTCATAATCCACAGACTTGACATTAAGAGCAATTAAAACTCTATTTGCAAATGGACTTGCTTGTGTACCTAGAACCTTAACAATACTTGTTGCCCTGACTAAATTGTTGTTGTTAATTTACTAGGTGGATACAAATGTTTAATGAAACACAATGTTGATGATCAAAGATTTATATGCTTTGGCAACTTAGTAATTCACTCCAAGAATGGCATTTACTAAGAAGTAAGAACTTAGGTGGTATCACACTAATGTTGAATATTTATTTAGGTCGTTTGGTATGCAGATTAAATTATCCTGAGATTTATAATCCTTAGACTAATTTATCCCACCTGAGAGATGGGATAAAATAATTTGCAAGTTGGATGGGAAATAAAATTTATAATGTGTTTGGTAGATGGTATAAATTTGTCCCAGGCTTAATCTTGGAATATCTCACCTTATCCTGCGTGCCAAACGATTATAATTTTAAGCAAACGTAGAATACTAAATTTCATTTTGGCACTCCAACTCAACCTTGTTCCATTTTAATCCTTCAACTCCAATTTCCATGCTCCATTTTGGTACTTCTAAGTGATGTGACACAATGTGTGCATTACACTTTCTCTAAGAGAGTGAAAGACAAAAAAAAGTATTTTTTTTTTAAAATAATAAAAGATTACCCTTCAACTATATTTCTTTTATGTACCATTTAACACAAAATAATATTTTTATAATTTCTTTATTTCTATATATATTATTCAACTGCAATTTTGCATTTTAAAATTTGGCGTTCATCCGTTAGTTATTGTAAAAAATTAAAATTGACCGGATGATCATTGATTTTTTTTATATAAAAAAAAAGTAAGTTATTTTTAAGAGTTCCCTATATTTTTGCGTGAAAAATAACCGACGAAAGTGCGTCGATTTTCTTTCTTAAGAAAATCAATGGCAATCCAACGAAGTCTATCGAGTTTCAACATTTTTTTGTAGTGTTATTAGCTAGCAATGATAATGAGTTTTTTTCACTCGTATTTAGTTGAATGAAAAATTAGAAAGCTGATACTTGAGTTAGTCCAAATACACTAGATATGAAAAAAAAATATGTGGTGTTATTTAATTTAATTAATTGTTTAAAAAAAAACTCACTTTTGTCGATTATTTTTTCACAAAATAATGTACAGAAACTCTAAAAAATATTATTTTTAAAAAATGATGTTCATCCATTATTATTTGTTTTTTTTAAAAAAAAGATATGATGTTGATTTTTAAAAATGAACATCATCTGTACATTATTGTGTGAAAAAATAATCAACGAAAGTGTGTTGGTTTTCTTTTTTAAACAATTAATTAAATTAAATAACATCACATATTTTTTTTCCATATCTTCTCGATTTGGACTAACTCAAATATCAACTTTCTAATTTTTCATTCAACTAAATACGAGTAAAAAAAATTCATGTTCATTGCTAATTAATAACACTACAAAAACATATTGAATTTCGATAGACTTCGTTGGGTTGTCATTGATTTTCTTAAGAAAGAAAATCGACGCACTTTCGTCGGTTATTTTTCACGCAAAAATATAGGGAAACACTTAAAAAGAAATTTTTACTTTCAATGATCATCTGACAATTTTAATTTTTTTACAATAAATAACGAATGAAGGTCGATTTTAGAAATGCAAAATTGCAGTTGAATAACATATATAGAAATAAAGAAATCATAAAATTAGTATTTTTGTGTTAAATGGTACAGAAAAGAAGTAGAGTTGAAGGGTAATCTTTTATTATTTTTTAAAAATACTTTTTTTGTCTTTCACTCTCTTAGAGAAAGTGTGATGCACACACTCTGCCACATCACTAAAGAAGTTCCAAAATGGAACATAAAAATTGGAGTTGAAGGGTTAAAATGGAACAAGGTTGAGTTGGAGTGCCAAAATAAAAATTAGGAACAAATTTAAGGGTCTGCATATGTGTTTTGCCTTGTTTTTTTGTTGTGAAACAAGAAAGCAATAGATTGGGACTAAATTGAGAAAATACTAAGATGACTTTGACATGGTCACACACAACATTGCAGGCCTATATCAGCATATGGAATACATTCTTTGAAGCAAATTTATTTAGACATATTCAAAGGGGGATGAAGCTTAGATGATACAAGTTCAACTGAACGTAGTATTTTTGATACGAAGCATAAATATACAACAAACATCTTTTATTTTTCGTCCGTTTAAACAAGATCTAGGAAGAGACACACTTCCATTAACAAAGCACGGACAAAGAAAAACTCAGCAACATTGTTAACTTGAGGTAGCTTACTTCACCTCGAGATACTTGCGATAAATTCCCACAAGTTTCTCAGTTTGTGGAATGATATCTTTTACAACATTGTCTGAGCAAAATCTCTCAGCCCATTCAGCTAGGCTAGGCGTCTTTGTTTCGTCTAGTATCTTCATTTCATCCATTATCTCGATTACCTTTACCCATCCGAGTAAACTACCAAGAACAATGTCAACGTAACCAATACTATCTCCACCAAAGTAAGATTTACCTTTGCTGATCTTCATAAAAGCTTCCTCCAGCAGTAAATTTCCTTCAGACATTTTCTCCACCACAGCTGCTTTTGCTTCCTTTCCTTTCGCGTTCCTATACTCCGCTACCAATGGATACCACTGCAACCATTTGATGAACTTAACTACTCATCTAAACGACTTTTCAAGCATGGTAACGTTCAGTTACTAAATAATAAGTTCAGTGATAATCATACGTGAAATTAACCACAAATAACATATCAAGCTTAGTAGTTACAAATTCAGCGTGTAGTCCCACAAAGTGGGGTCTGAGGAGGGTAGAGTGTACACAAATTTTACCTCTACGTTAGAGGTAGAGAGGTTGTTTATGATAAGTTACAAATGAAATTAAGTCTTCACCTTTTCATCTATATAGGCTGCCCAAAATCATGCTATGGCACGATCATAGGGATCAGAAGGAAGAATGGAGGGACCATTAAGCCAAGCTTCATCGATGTACTGAAGGATGACAAGGGACTCACAGATAGGCTTTTCGTCGTGGAACAGGACTGGGATTTTCTTGGAAACATGATTGGATTTGAGGAGCAGCTCACTTTTGTTTAACACATGTTCTTGTATAAACTCATACTCAATAGACTTCATCTTGAGGGCTATTTCAACACGGTTCACGTACGGGCTTGCCCATACACCTAGAAGCTTTACACAATTTGTTGCCATGGCTAGCTTCCTCAACAACAAATATTGAAGGAATGACTAATAAGCAGAGTTCAACACTCTTTTTTAATGAAATATTAGTCAGCATTTGATTCTTCTTGTACATAAGTTCTATCTACCAAATAAACAATATTGTAGGTGGGATCAACATGTTGTACTATATATGCTTTAAATATAGCGAGCGCCCATTAATTTAAAATTCTGAATCCGCCACTGCATACACATCGATTGCCAAAATGTCATGTGTACTATAGTTTGTACTCTAGCTGGATGATAGTTTAATTACAATTTGACTTAAAATACAAAGAAGTTAGTTGGCATCTATTTCTTTGTAAAGGCATCTTATAGACCATAAAGCTCCAAAACTACATTATCATTCTGTAACATCAGTTTTAGTTTTTCTTTTTTTGTTTTCTTCTCCTATTCATCCAGCATAATGGTACCATCAAATTAGTATTTTAGTGCTCTTATTTTAATACTATGATAAACAAATATGTATTTTAATCCCACACCCTCTGTATATATCAAGAAATCTACTTGATTCGACACAGTTATTATTGTATATTAACTTGAGATCGTTGTAGGAACCCGTAAACTTCAAATCAAATTACTGTTCTAAAACCTTAATTTTTTCATCAATATAGGCTGCCCAAAACCGGGCAGTGGGACGTTCATAAGGATCAGAAGGAAGGATGGAGAGACCATTACACCATGTTTCATCGATGTACTCTATGATGAGGAGAGACTCACATATAGTCTTTTCAGCATGGAAGAGTACTGAGACTTAATTTGAGGAGAAGCTTACTTTTCTTGAAAGCATTCTCTTTGATGAATTCATTCTCGATGGACTTCATGTAACTTAATTATTTATGTTTGAAATGGTGATATGAAAATTAAGTCTTAACCTTTTCATCTATATAGACTGCCCAAAATCGTGCTATGGCACGATCATAGGGATCAGAAGGAAGAATGGAAGGACCATTAAGCCAAGCTTCATCGATGTACTGAAGAAAGACAAGGGACTCACAGATAGGCTGTTCGTTGTGGATCAGGACGGGGATTTTCTTGTAAACAGGATTGGATTTGAGGAGCAGCTCACTTTTGTTTAACACATTTTCTTGTATAAGCTCAGAATCAATAGAATTTATCTTGAGGGCTATTTCAACACGGTTCACGAATGGGCTTGCCCATGAACCTATAAGCTTTACACTACCTGTTGCCATGACTGGCTTCCTCAACAACTAATATTGAAGGAATGACTAATAAGAAGAGTTCAACACTCTATTTTAATGAAATATCGGTCAGCATTTGATGCTTCTTGCACATAAGTTGTATCTACCAAATAAACAATATTGTAGGTGGGGATTAACATGTTGTGCTATGCTTTAAATAAGATTAGCAAACAATCTTATTAGTCCATTCATAAGAGTAATTTGTTGAATTATAACTTGCACTTGACTCATAAGGAAGGAAGAAGGGACTAATAGGCCAAGCTTGATCGATATATTGCACGATGAGGAGAGACTCACATATAGGCTTTTCAGAAAGGAACAAAACTGGGACTTTCTTGCTAACAGAAACTTGATTTTAGGAGAAGCTCACTTTTCTTGAAAGCATCCTGTTCGATGAATTCATGCTCGATGGACTTCAAGTTTTAGAGTCATTTGAGCACGATTCACAAAAGCGCATCTGTTCCTTCCCAAAAGTTTTACAATGGTGGTTGCCATAGCCAACTCAAGGAGTTGAAATGCAACCAATTTAGTGCAGAATTAGACACTCTTTCTTTTATGTCCCTCTAGACCTCGTTAGACGAACAAAGTAGGATCAGCAAGATTCTCTTTGCCCACGGAAAACGACTTCTTGGATGTAGCAGGCACCGCGCTCAAAATATACTAAGTTAATGCAAGTCAGAAACTAAAGTTACTGTCCTCTGTTGCTTAAGGCACCCCATTCGGGTTTGATTGTGTTGTAACTCACCACAAATCTATATACTTTCAGCTCAGTTAGTTTCTGAATTCAGTTTGGTTTAGAACATTTCAAGTTTCAAAAACTGAAATAAACATCAAATAGACACATAGAATTAACCAATAAATAGTAGATCTTGGCTTCATATTACTCATTTCTTAGTAGTTTGTTACACAATACCATAATAAACCTTCCAAAGACCGAATGTTGTTTCCATATATGGTCTTAGCTAGACTCTCCGAGGCTTCATAGGCTAAACGTAGCATATGGATTTAGCTAGATGCATTAGCTCTAATTTTGGGTATAAGGTCCTTAGCAGCCTCAGCAAGCTTATTAGTTTCAGGCATGACATCTTTGACAGAACTATCAGCACAAAAATCTTCAGCCCATTTGTATAAACCTGGAGTCTTGGCTTCATCAAGCAGTGTGACGTTGTTCATCTTCTCGGTCACCTTCATCCAACCTAAGAAGCAGCCAAGTGCAATGTCCACGTATCCAATTTTGTCTCTGCCAAAGAACTTCTTTCCTTTGCTGCAATTCTTGAAGGCATCTTCCAACAACACCAGACCGTCGAAAACTGGCTCCAGTGCTGCCTTTATGGCATCCTCTCCTTGGGCAACCGCTAAGCAACGGAATATTGGAAACCACTGCAGCATCAATAAAAATATTTGTTAAGGAAATAGACCTCAGCTAGCTCATGACGACAACTTATTCTCTCAACAAATGTGAGACTCTAACACTCTCTAGCACACGTTCAAGACTGAACATCTGGAGCGTGAACAACATAATTAAGCAATTAGAAATGTTCTATTCTTAATAGCTTAAACTTTTAGATAACACAATTTCAACATGGTATTAGAGTTGCCACCGCCAAAGAATTGGACACTACAACATGTAAGAGGAATTTTCGAGACATACTAGTCCTACAAAGTGGCGGTCTGAGGAGGGTAGAGCGTACAGAAACCTTACCTCTACGTTAGAGGTAGAGAGTTTGTTTATGATAAGTTACAAATTCAATTGTTACCAATTATAGGACAACGAGATGGTAATATGAGAATTAAGTCTTCACCTTTTCATCTATATAGGCTGCCCAAAATCGTGCTATGGCACGATCATAGGGATCAGAAGGAAGAATGGAGGGACCATTAATCCAAACTTCATCGATGTACTGAAGGATGACAAGGGACTCACAGATAGGCTTTTCGTCATGGATCAGGACGGGGATTTTCTTGTAAACAGGGTTGGATTTAAGGAGCAGCTCACCTTTGTTTATCATATTTTGTTGTATAAACTCATACTCAATAGACTTTATCTTGAGGGCTATTTCAACCCGGTTCACAAACGGGCTTGCCCATGAACCTAGAAGCTTTACACAATTTGTTTCCATGGCTAGCTTCCTCAACAACTAATATTGAAGGAATGACTAATAAGAAGAGTTCAACACTCTTTTTTAATGAAATATCAGTCAGCATTTGATACTTCTTGCACATAAGTTCTATCTAGGAAATTATGCTGGTTTGTCCTAGCTACCAAATAAACAATATTATAGGTCGGATCAGGGGCGGCTCTGCCTTATAAAAATTAAGGCATATGCCTTAGGCCCCCAATTTTGGAAGGCCTCAATTTTTTATCAAGAATAAATTATGTATTATTTTTTTATTAAAAAAAATAATTATTTATAATAAAAAGTATATAATATATATTTTTTATTACATTTATTTGCTAACATTCACATTATTTATTTTTTAAAACTCATTTTTGCTTAAAGTTTATCAAACTTATTACTTATAGAATTGTGTTAACAATTCATATAATGATTGCTTCAATAAAATAATATTTTTCAATGTTGAATTGATAAAAATCTTACCTAAAACTAATAATTATAAATTAAAAGAAGTACTCGAAAAAATCATCTATAAAAAAATTAAGTAATAATTTGCATCTAAATAGTTAGAAAAATAAATTTTAAAATAAGTATGTATGAAATTTGTTAGGCGTCAATTGAAATTTCGCTTTAGGCCCCCAATTACGTTGAGTTGTCCTTGGGTCGGATTGTACTATGCTTTAACTATAGCGAGCACCCATTAATTTAAAATTCTGGATACGCCACTGTATACACATCAAAGATACTCGAAATGGCTACAATATTCAAGCACATCAATATCAAAATGAAATGTAAAACACTACATAAGTAATTTGAAGTGCTCTCTCTAATAACTTAAGCTTTTACAGTTACGAAGAGAGATGTGTACCTTATCGTCAATATAACATGCCCAAAATCGGGCAATGGCACGATCATAAGGATCCAAGGGGAGAATAGAGGGACCAGAATTAGTCCATTTTTCATCAATATACTGAACAATGTTGAGAGATTCACAAATGGACTTTCCATCATGAATTAGAACTGGAATTTTCTTGTAAACTGGATTTGATTTAAGGAGAAGATCACTCTTAGAACTTAACTGTTCCTCCAAGAAATCATAACACACTGATTTTACGTTAAGCGCGATACGAGGCCTCACGACAAATGTACTAGGCCATGATCCTAATAATTTCACATCATTTTCAGCCATGATCAAAGCAGAGTTAGAAACAGAAGATGCAATTTGTGATTTTTGATAATTATTATTTGGGCAAGTTCTTGATCACATATATAGTAGATGAGAAGATTGAAAGGAGAGGACCTTATTAGTTTGTCCATTTGTTGTTACATTCTAACATTTTGAAACTTGTAATCTTAAATATGTCATAACATTGCCGTGATTCATAAAAGAGAAAAACACATCATTTCACTCTTAAACTTGTCCGCACAACTTACTTTAGACACTTGACTCCACGGACAATTATATACCTTCTTAACAACTTTAAAGTGAATTAAATATCACCTCAAAATTGATGTGAATATTAAATTTAAAAAAACGTGTTTAATAGTAAAAAACTGAAAATGTGGGCTTATCTTCATTAATTATTCATGGGGAACTTTCGCAAATAGTCACTATAATAAACCTAAATATGCTTCATAGTTATAGTTTGCATACTTACGGGCTGTAGCTATAGTTTAAACTGTGTCATTTGTATAATTCGTGGATTTGTATAATTCGCAGGTACATTTGTATAATTCAGTTACTTTTGTATAAACTCAAAATAACGAATTTATTCAATTATAAACATCAGAAGTGTAAGCAGTTATACAGATTATATTATACAAATTTCGAATTATACAAACGTGTGAATTATACAAAACTAAAAAGTTGAACCGCATAATTATAGCTAAAAGTATGTCACAAATTGTAATTAAAGCAAACTATAACTATATTAACTAATTAACAAGTGTATGTTTGCTTATGCGTCTAATTTTTGAATTCATTCATAGTGATTAAAGTCTGAACCCACTATTACAACCACTTAAATTGTAGGCAAAAAGTACAATCAAGTGAAGAAAATAGAAAGCAATAAATGTATACACCTACAAGACAATAATATTAATGTAACACATTCAAATCCACCTTTTAAAAAGTAGAAAAAATAAAATAAAAATTCCAATTTTTTTTTTATGGGTTTGTAATAAAATATATATTTATTTGTCCTTTTATCATTACTGGCCTTTTCAACCACTACTCATCCACTAAGATTTATGTATAGTTGCTTCAAGTCAAATCCAAAAGTCTTAGAATTATTATTATTGATCGTGCCTTCCAATTTCTAACCAATTTTGGTACACATAATTCAATCATACCTTAAAGTTAAAAAGAGCATGAGAAAATTCAAACACCTTTTGGAAAATCATTACTTAAAGTATTTGTGGTTGATATTGTTCTATTCTTCGTTACGATATTTTCTTTTCAAATTTGTTTTAAACTATTTTGTATGAGTTATGGTTCTTTCAGAAATTATCTATGTACTTCTAAAAGATAAGAGTAAGATTGTGTGTACATCATCCTCTTCATATTTTACTTGTAAAAGTACACTGAGTATATTAATAATAATATTTTTTAAAAATTATACTGTAATGTATAATATACTAGACTATATGGCAACCACCTTATTCTTTAAGTTTCTAATTACTTGTATTATAGATGTTATCGGTAGTTATCTTTAGGTAATCTTACAAAACAATGGATATAATGTTGCGACGTCAGATTCATACGAATTTAATATTTTTTGGTTAAATCTATAGAACTTAAATTCTGAATTCCCCAAACGACCTTACAACATAGCATTTCTTTTACACTACCAGTACACATGGATAAATTCATAATGTAACATATTGGTTCACGTAAATTCAATAAGTTTTGCCTAAACTCTATGTACATGTCAAGAAATCAACTAAATATTTGACTGTAAACTCATATACAATGATATACTTATTAACTCATAAATTTTGAATCTTGAATTTACCTCCGTCTTGACATAAGAGTTAAACTCATATTCTCATATTATTAATGGAAACATTTTTTTTTTAAGAATATGGTAGCAAAGATTCATTTATCTTTTATTCTTGTCCTCTCAATTTCATTTTTCCAAAAATGAATAAGTTGCTCTTCTCATTCATTTGTCTCCTTTTGTATAACTTCATATCTCCATCTTATTCACTCCCTTTATGCACAGATTTGAGTAAGTTATTTTAATTTTTTTCAATTTTTTTATCAAGATGTCATTTTTGTACAAAATTTTGTTTTCTTTTGCTAATTGTTCTTCTTCAATGTGTAATATATGTAGGAGCACCTGTTATTCCAAAAAAGGCTTTGGCTTTTTGTCCTTATAATGGAAGAGTATGTTGTGACTCTTCTAAAGATGTGCAATTGCAGAAGGCTTTTGAGGGTATGAAAATATCTGATACTACATGTAGTTCTGCTGTCAAATCAATACTTTGCTCAGTAAGTTTTCTAATTTTGATAATTTTTTATACACTGTACTGCTTAGACTCTTCAAAAATATTGTCGTGGACTACTTGTGTTGTATCCTTCGAGAAAAATTCACTACTTTGGAGGATCTGACATTCTTGAAGAGTCTGAGCAACATAGCTCATATATGTTAGTGGAAATTGAAGTTGGTGCATTTTAATTTTCTTTCTCTTTAGGTCTTTCGGAAACAACCTCTCTACCCCAGTAAGGTAGAGATAAGGTTTGCGTACCCCTAACCCTGCACAGACTCCACTCGTGAGACTGCACTGGATATATTGTTGTTGTTAGCTTAATATGTTCTTTATCTCAAATTCTTGAAGAAAGATCATGAATTTTTACAACTTACATCAAAATAGTTTCTTCAACATCTGATGAACAAGTTTTGTTCTTGTATTTAAGTTTCTGCAGGACTTTGTTAACTAATCCAAAAGATTTCCCTATTTTTTGTTTCAGACATGTGATCAGTTCTCAGCAGAGTTGTTTAAGGTAAAATCAGGGCCAAGACCAGTTCCTGTTCTTTGCAATTCAACTGATGCATCAGCAAGCAGTTTTTGTTCATCTGTTTGGGATTCATGCCAAAACATACCAATAACAAATTCTCCTTTTGCACCATCCTTGCAAACCAAAGCAGGAGGGACAAAAAACTCAAACTCCTCCTTGCTAACAGACTTCTGGCAATCGAAAGCCGATTTCTGTGAAGCATTTGGTGGAAACTCAGATAAAGATTCATTATGTTTCAATGGAGAACAAGTTTCACTCAAGAAAAACGAAACTTTACAGACTCCGAATGGGATGTGTTTTGAGAAGATTGCTGATGGAGCTTACCTCAACATGGTCCCTCATCCTGATGGATCGAACCGAGCATTCTTTTCCAATCAGGCTGGAAAAATTTGGTTAGCAAGTATACCAGATCAAGATTCAGGAGAAAGCATGGGGATTGATGAATCAAGTCCATTTGCTGATTTGACAGATGAGGTTTATTTAGATGCAAGATATGGGATGATGGGGATGGCTTTTCATCCAAATTTTGCTAAGAATGGCAGGTTTTTTGCTTCATATAACTGTGACAAAGCTAAGTCCCCTAGCTGTGCTGGAAGATGTGCTTGTAATTCAGATGTTGGTTGTGATCCTTCTAAGATAAACTCAGATGATAATAAGCAGCCATGCCAATACCATTCTGTTGTTGCAGAGTTCAGTGCTAATGGGACTGCACCAAATCCATCATTGGTTGGTTTTTCACTCAATTGTGTTCTTAAACAGCAGCTAGATAGCCAATCTTTGTTGGTCTGATTCTTTTTTATGGGCTTATACCAGCTTTGATACCATGTTGAATTACGTTACCACCTCCATCTTAAAACTTAAGCTGTTTGAACCTAATTCAGCATAGGGGATTAGAAGTTTCTCCAATTCCATTTCAAAAGGTTTCATTGCAAGCACTTATGTTGTCTTGTTTGATTGAAATTTCATACATTTTGTAGGCAGAGAAGGTGAAACCATCAGAAGTGAGGAGAATATTTACAATGGGGCTTCCATTCACAGCTAATCATGGAGGACAAATACTCTTCGGCCCTGAAGATGGATATCTCTACTTTATGATGGGAGATGGTGGAAGCAAGGGTGATTCTTTCAATTTTGCTCAAAATAAGAAGTCATTGCTTGGAAAAATAATGAGGGTTGATATTGATAACATACCAAGTGAGCACTTTGATTTAATTGTTTTACAATAATTGACACAAACTAAAAAGGCCAACTGCCTGCCTTGTACTTTCTTGAATTAGGTCATGAGATACTACTAAGGTGATTCTTTCATTAGGTCAAGAAGAAATATCAGACCTTGGACATTGGGGTAACTATACGGTTCCTCGAGATAATCCTTATTCACAAGATAAGGATTTGCAGCCTGAAATCTGGGCGCTAGGACTGAGAGACCCTTGGCGCTGTAGCTTTGATTCAGAAAGGCCTTCTTACTTCATCTGTGCAGATGTTGGCCAGGTTCAATGACAATCTCACTTTCATTGAGGGCTATAACATCTGTTTTTAAGATCATTTCAACAGACATAACATGCTACCTGATATCTTGACTCTGAGTTTTTGACAACCATTTGAATCATGCAGGATCAGTATGAAGAAGTTGACATCATCACGAAAGGGGGAAACTATGGATGGAGCATGTATGAAGGTCCTTTACGCTTTAAAAATGCTTCAGCTGATGATTTCATGGATCCCATCTTCCCAGTGTTAGGATACCGTCATTCTGATATAAATAAAGAAGTTGGATCTGCAGCCATATCAGGTGGCTATGTTTATCGATCCAAGACTGATCCCTGCATATATGGAAGGTAAATATGAACACCCTTGTTGATATAAGATTGTACATTAGCGAACCAAACTTAACAGAAGGATGGTTGCATTTGCAGTTACCTCTATGGCGATTTGTATGCTAAGAACTTTTGGGCAGCTCAAGAAAATCCGTATAACAGTGGGAACTTTACAGCAAGAGGCATTTCTTTCCGTTGTGCTCATGATTCCCCTCTCAATTGCAGCTCAGTTCCCAATAGTCCATTGCCTGCTTTAGGTTACATATTCTCATTTGGACAGGATAACAGGAAGGATACCTATGTTTTAACAAGCACCGGTGTATACAGAGTGGTTCGTCCAAGTCGCTGCAACTACACTTGCTCGATGGAGATAGCAAGGACTGCTGAGAGCCCAGGTCCCTCTGCACCTTCAGATGGTCACGTTGCTAAAGCAGATCTCTGCTCGGTCCTTGTTCTTTACTGTCTGCTGCTTTTGACTAGCTTCATCCTGTAGTTATTGCACTGTAATTATGAGATCAGTGTTATACTAAATACACAAGCTACAGTTTGTGTTGGAGCAACATTATCTTGTCGCAGAAGATAGAATGCAACTCTTAAGATGAAAACCATGATCAACCCTAAAAGCTAAACTATTGTCCTTCCTAATTTAAATATCGCGAGACTTCAACCACAGAAGCATATCATATCATATATTTATGCAACATTTTAATTAAGAGTAAAACATTAATAAAAGAATAAAACAACAAAGCTAACTCAAAGCAACATCAATTTCCTCGCCAGAGAATTAACTTAACTTCAGTGGTTAGGTGATTGAAAAACAAACTTGACTAGAACAGGTACTCAATTACTAATGCTTTTGACTTAAATTTAAAATTCAATAAATTGCATGATCAACAATTTACCTCTCCTGAAACTGATACCACCAGGTCTATGGCATAATTAGCAAACTGTGTGAGCTAATTGAAAATTTCATACATATCAAGAAATAGTCATTGAATATAATGTAACCTCCTTCAACAGTTTAAACCAGGTTAAACAATCATGCATTCCTTGAACCGCTACTTCCACATATCAAAACAACAGCCTTTCACAAATCTTCTCCTAGTTTCCGGTGCTTTTTGACATTAATTGGTGGTATACTGTAGTATACTTCATTGCAGTAGAACACCAAGTCCACGACACCTGATTCACGAAGAAAGATGAACGTTAGATCAATCACAAGCACTTCTGCAGCTATGAACATCAAATATAGGTTAAAATAATGCGGTGCCTTGGAGTTTCTGTCTTTACATCCTCAACACCAAAGAACCTCCCACCCCACCAAAATAAAAGTATACCACAGCCATGTACAAGTCCATTTAAAGTTTTGTCCCCTTACCAAAGTAGTTCATATAAAGGTTTGTATGGGAAAAAAAGAGAGTATAGTCTAACGTGTTCTGTTTTCCACTTTATTATAGAGGAGGAAACTTGAATTTGCAATTTTTACCTAGCTTGCATGCTTCTTTCTGATCCAAGCAGGATTGCTTTAAAGGTGATTCATCAGTCCTCCCTTCACCTCCCTGCATCGCATGGTACAAATCTAAGCAAAGCAAAGAAAGCAAAAGTGCACTGAAATGCTAAATTGCAGCATGCATCTAAAACTGTACTCAGCTTTAGATCTTTTGAAGAAATGGAAGTGAGTTAAAAATACACAAATACCAAGTATAGTAAACTCGCCTGTCTCAAAATATCATCTGACGACTTACAGAGCAACACAACTTGAACTGACTTGACAGCACGAAAAAGATTAGCATCATTGGGAGCAAGACAACTAGTTTTTTGTTACTAGTTCCAAAAATAGCAACAAGATGACCAGCAACAGGATGCAGAAACATGTCAGACAACCATCATGCATTCCTATTATCAGTCTTGTCTGCAAGACATTTTTCTACTGCTTCATCACAAAGCTCAAGCGCCAAATCAAAGTTCCCTTGTTCATAGTTCATATCCGCAAAGATAGAGTAAAGTTCTTTATCTGCCAATAAACCATATCTTCTCATCTCTTCAAACATTTCTTTCGCCTCAGAATACTTTTTCCTCTTTAAAAACCCTTTGATGAGTGCATGATAAGTCTCTAATGTCGGGGTGAATCCCTTCTTGATCATTTCCTTGTGCAAAAACCAAGCCTCTTTCATATTTCTAGCTTTGCAATGTCCTCGTATCAATATGTTGAAGGTATTGGCATTTGGTACAACTCCTTTGCCCAGCATCCCCTTGTAAATTTCTGACGTCATACACATATTATTTCGCACACTATACTGCTTCATAAGAGAATTGTAAGTAGTAGCATTTGGTATTATACCCTTCTCCAACATCCACTTCAACAGTTTATCACCCTCTTCTAGCATCCCTGACATACAAAAGCCATTCATCAGAACGTTGAATGTAACTATTGTGGGTTGGAGTCCTCTGAGCAACATTTGTCGTAGTAGTCCATGAGCCTTGCCCATCTCTCCTAATTTACAATAAGCATCCATTAGAGTAGTATACGTAAAGGCATCAGGACAGATCCCTGCAGCTTCCATATCTTCCATCAACTTTACCGCTTGATTCACATCTCCAGCTTTACAAAAACCATTAACAAGTGAGTTGTATGTGTAAATATTCAGTTCAAGACCCTTTCCACACATCTCGTGGAGAAGTTCATTTGCTGTTTCAAGTTCCCCTAGTTTACAGAGCCCATCTACTAGTGTAGTGTAAGTCACAATATTTGGCACAAACTGCATCTGAACCATTTTGTTGTGAAGAGAAAAGGCTGCCTTTATCTCCCCTGCCTTGCAATAACCATCAATAAGTGTTGTATAAATGAATTCGTCAGGTTCTAACCCCCGGCCAAGCATATAATTCAACAACTTATCTGCTTCAGCAATATTTCCAGTGTGACACAGACCAGAAATAAGGGCAGTATATGTTATCAAATCAGGGGTAATGTTAAGACTCTGCATCTCATTGAACAGACTGTATGCAGCACTTATGTTCCCAGTTTTGCAGAAGCCATCTATAAGAGTTGTGTAAACAACATTATCTGGAGTGATTCCCTGGGAAGTCATCTCCCTCAGAATTTTCTCGGCATCATGCACTTTGCCTCTCTTAGACAAAAGAAGAATTATACTGTTAAAAGTAAATGCATTTGGCTTCAATCCTTTTACTTGCATTTCTTCGATGATCTTCATCACTGATTCAAGCTGTCCAGCAGCACAGTATCCATTAATCACAGTGCTGTAACTTACAACATCAGGCATACAGCCCCTCAGCTCCATTTGCAGGAGTAAGTTATGAGCTTCTTTAACTTTCCCTATCCGACAAAGAGAATGGATCACTATATTATGAGATTCATTGTCCCAGCAAACACCCACTTCAGAAAATTCATGAAAGACCTTTAGCATCATTTTGTGCCCCTCAATCTCATGCGAGAGACATGAAAGGAAAAAGTTACATGAAGAGACAGATAGAACTAAGCCATAGTGCAACATTTTATCAAAAAGTTTTCTTCCATAATCTAGACTTCCTAACTCAACAAGCACTTGGAAGAAAATATCAAAAACAAATGGATTAGAACCCCAATCCTTATAAGTGTATATTAACTTTTCAAGAAACTGGGGGAAGAAAACTGTCACATCTACACTGGGTCTTGCCCAAAAATCATGAATAAGCCTATGTACTGTCCTTGCATCTTTTTGTGCAGCAGCAATATGCACGATAATACAACGTACCTCAATTGACGGGTCCCTCCGTTGACACCACCAATCAAAGAAATCTATAACCAGTTTGTAATCATTCTTTATGGTCATGAGAACCCAAACGATGTGGTCAGGTTTGATTTTTGATTCAAAGGGCTTTAAGACACGCCGAATGTGCTCAGAGTAACGTTGCTTAATAGAAGTCGATACGTGCTGCACAAGTTCAGAGTCTCTAATGAAGGGTTTTTTAGGCGAATAATCTGGAAAAGGTCTCACAGCAGTTAAAGTTAGGCAAGAAAGCTTTTCAACTGCAGAATTAGTTGAATATGAAAAGAATGACATGTGTTTTGTCACAGAACCCAAGTATCGATGATAAGACAAAACTTGACAATGGTAAGGAAAAACAAAAGCAGAACACCTCCTCATATCTCTTTGAGAGAGCCATTAAAGCTTGCAAATGCCATGGCTCTCCTCCATGTATAAGATCAATTTATAGAAACTTCATCTCTTTGTCACCTGTAAAACAAATAGGATGATCACATTAAACATTGATTATTGTAACTTTTTGTTAAGAAGTCAATTTCTGCAAATGCAACATCAAGAAAATAAGGAAATTGAATAAAGTAAAAAAATCAACCTATCTGATGCTGCTGCTATTGACAACAACAACAACAACTTAAACGGTGTAACCCCACAAGTGTGGTCTGAATGGAAGAGATAAATCAAGATATTTGTCACATTAGGAGGATGCCAGTGAAGGAGAAGGAACTTGGATTTGCCGGAGAAAGAGATCAACTATAAAGAACCTATCAAAAAATATTGTTTTATCATAAAGAACCTATCTTTGAAACCCAATCCTCAATCCCAATTACAACAAGAAACAACAAAATACCCACTGTAGTCCCACAAAGTGTTGTCTTGGGAGGATAGAGTGTACACAGACCTTACCCCTACCTCTGAGGTAGAGAGCTGTTTCCGATAGACCTCGGCAAATAAAAAACAGATGGGTGGAAGAAAGTACAAGAAAACATAAGTAGAGAAACTGGAAAGTAGGTGTTTTCTGGTCAGATTTCTTGGTGGAGAAAGTAGTGAAGGTTGGCTGATGCTGTTATTGCTTCACCAATAAATAAATATCCATAACAGAAACAGCTAACTTAAACATTGAACTCACTATTCAACAAAAGGGCTTGCTCAATGCTCGGATAGTAAGCATCCTCCACCTCCAACTCTAAGATTATGAGTTCGAATCACCAAAGAGCATAAAGCTAGGAGCTTTAAATTTTATTTTATTTAAAAAAAAAAAAAACTCAATATCCTGTCACACACCCAATTGATATATAAATGCTAATTCTCTTATTCTAAATACAAAATTAACATATTCCATCCATAACAGAGTCTACAAGATAAGCTATTCTCTAACTGTAAGCTAAAAAATTGGAAATTAACTCAAAAAAACATACAAATAGAAGCACAAAATGACATTTTCAAGCTTAATTTATGAATAATCATTCAAAAAGGGTATTAGGGTTCTTACTAACATACCATTCTTCGTCGGAGAAGAAAGCTGGCTGTTGAATCCTCTGGTTATCAATTTGGGCCTCTGAAAATATCCATTTCTTGGCAATTGATGGGCCGAACATATGTTAGAATTAAGAAATTTATGGGCTTAGATTTGACAACCAAGTTACACATTTTGTCGTTCAACTAAAAATAATTATATTCGCTAGTCAAATATATTAGAAAAGATATATTATTTTATAATCGGAAGAAACATATATTTTATGTACGGTATATTTATATTAATACGTGCAAAAAAAATATTTGCTTATTTTGGTGGGTGGTATTATGTAATATTCCTATATTTATTATATCTAAAGCAAACAATACAATTTCACTAGTTTAGGATTTAATTATTTTTCTTCACTTTAGTTTTCGAAATTAAAGGTACAACATTTCCTTTGCCAGATACACTCAGATTCATGTATCTTGAATACTTGCGAATCAAATTAGATGTAATTTGTTCTAGATACATTGTATATATTACAGCGTGATTTGCATATATATGAGATACAATAACTCTCTCACTCGCCTTTCTCCTCTCTCGATCTGAGTTGCTCGCCTCTTCTCTCTCTTTATGTCTCTGATCTCTTAGACATGTACATGATTTATATAAATATTCGTTCGTCTCTCTTTCAATGTATTTGATATCCTACATATATGTATTTAGTGTTAAAATTAGTTGCCATTGGCCAATCTCCTCTCTCTTTTTTGGTTACAATAAGAAGTACTAAATAAAATACTTCAAAAATATTTGTACAGATGAATTTTATATTCTTGAACATATTTTTACAAATTAATAAATCTTTTTTTATGTTTGTATTTATCGTTTGTCAGATAATCTGCACATTCATTTGCCTCTCTCCAAATACGACCAACGATGGCCTAGTTGAATTTTAATAAATATTAACAGGGGCGTATCTAGAGGGGGTGCCGTGGGTTCACGTGAACCCATGCTCCCCTCTCTAGATCATATATAGTAGTGTTATATGTTAAAAAAATATTTAAATATAGATATGTGAACCCACGTTCAAAGTATCATATAATATAATATGATGATGATAGGTGCACCTCTCTGAGTGAGGATAGAAATTTAAATCTTATATCTATCTTCTGTTTTTGAGTAACACCTCTCCAAGTGGTTATCGGTTACACTTTTGGCGTTTCAACTAATTTTTCTTAAATCTTTCAAAATTTTCCAGTGTGTTACATTGAAAATTCTTTAAAAAATTTAGCACTATAATTTTTTTTATATAATTAAATCAAATGTGTATATTAAAATTTAAAAGTAGTAGTATTATATATTTTGGACCTATAATTTTTAAAATTTAATGGTTCATATAAAGTACCTAAAAGTCAAACTGATCAAATTTATATTTAAGAAGCATTTTTTCGTAATCGTGCACCCATCTTACCGAAATTCTGAATACGCCTCTGTATAAAGTTACTGTAAGTAAGAAGGTCTATGTACCTTAATAGTGGAAGGTGATAAATTCAAAGTGTTTTGGATACAACAATTTAAAGTTTATTTTATTCTGAAGATATTTTGATTTTGATACAACAATTAAAAGATCAAAATTTGTATGTTTATCTGTTTGTATGCTTTTTGATATATAATTTGTATTTCTTATTTATTTTGAATACACATTTGCACCAAATACAGTTTAGATAATATGATACAAATTGTATATTCAGGCTAATACAATTTATAATATAATTACGTTCAAAATACATTTTTTATTTTGTAATTTATTTGGGATACAAATCGTGAATGATTGAATAAAAGAAGATTTATCGCAAAAGATTGAGGCTGAAAATATTTAAAAAAATAAGTAGTAATCCATTATTTTATTATAATTTTTTTTTTAGTAAAACTAAAATTATTATTTTTATAACTAAGTATAACAACTCTAGAGATCATTGGCGTTTCAACTAATTTTTCTTAAATCTTTCAAAATTTTCCAGTGTGTTACATTGAAAATTCTTTAAAAAATTTAGCACTATAATTTTTTTTATATAATTAAATCAAATGTGTATATTAAAATTTAAAAGTAGTAGTATTATATATTTTGGACCTATAATTTTTAAAATTTAATGGTTCATATAAAGTACCTAAAAGTCAAACTGATCAAATTTATATTTAAGAAGCATTTTTTCGTAATCGTGCACCCATCTTACCGAAATTCTGAATACGCCTCTGAATATATATATAACCATTGCATCTTCACATAAAGACAACAACCAAAATATAAGATCTTATTTTACTGAAAATATCATTTTTAGTATCCAAATAATTAAAACTGTTTGAAAATTTGTCATTATACTTTGGTTTCAAACTTTCAATACTGGCTGTGAAGCACTGAAAAAAATAATCAAGGGAATAAAGTTAATAGGTTGTAGATAAGGTATACTCCCCTTCTTTTCTTCCCCTATTTTATATTCCTACAGTTTTATTTTATGTCGCGATATTTAATTAGACATAATTTTAATTTAAGAAAGAAAGCAAACAAATCATATACTAAAACTATTTATTTTTTTGAATTTTTTATTTTATATACCATAATATTTATATAATACTTAGAAGTTAGAACTATATCATTAAAGACAGTAATATTTAACAGTCTCCAAATAAATTAAGGAAGGTATCATTTTTTTTTAAAACAAACTAAAAAGTAAAGATTGTTATTACTATATTAAAGTGGCTTACTTGCTGGCAAGAGGAGCACCTATATATACTATATAGTATAATAATAGTTGTGTTACATTACAAAAGATAAAAGATGCCTTTTTTCCTTTTTAGTGGAAGCATAATCATTGACATAATTAAACTAATCAAACCAATTATTAGAGTTCTCAAACTACTAAATATTAATTAAATCTACAAGCTATTTCTCCATCACCATGCATTTACAAACTAGTCTTACCTTAAAAAAAAACATTAGAAGCTTATAATAGATGTCCTTTTACATTTGCAATTTTTGGTGGACTTAATTAAAACACACGAAAAAAACCATAAAATAAAACTTGAATGGAGACTCAATAAAATACTTTTATCGTATATGAAATTTCCCAGGATCCCACACATGGGAATCAGCCAACTAATAGCATTATTTAGTCAAAGTCATCTAACATTCTTCTCTTTCGTATCAACTTGCACGCACCTCGATTAATTTTATAAACTACTTATTACCTACCACTAGGGGTGAACATTTGGTACAATTTGGTATTTTTGAAGTTCATTCAGTAATTCAGTAATATCAAATACCGAACTTTAATAGTTCAATCCACTATCATAATCAAACTTCGATTCGGAAATTCGATTTTCAGTGCTACATGTCCACCTTTACCTCCTACCAGTACAAATGTTGAGTAACTAACTTTATCCATCAAAACTTGAAGAAAAAAAAAAACCACTTAATATTTTTGCTTATACTAAATTTAAACCTGAGACGTCATGATTTTCGCCAGGATGACTAACATGAGGCTCTTTAATATTATGCATTACCAAGTCCAAGAAAAGTTGCAAAGGCAACCTTTAGACCTTACACTTATATTTATATACCACTACTCTTCCACATTTCACTTCCTCCCTCCCTCCCCTGCCTTTCTACATTTTCACAGTCAAACCAAAACATGAACTTCAAAAAATCCTCAACCTTCCTCTCTTGCATCATATTCATACTTCTTCCTTCACTAACCACATCACAAACTTGTCAAAAATCATGTGGCAATGTACCAATCAAATACCCCTTTGGCACTGGTCCTGGCTGTGGTGATCCGCGATTTCAACCTTATGTTATGTGCAACAACCAACAACTCTCTTTCAAGACACACACCGGGTGCTATCCGGTTACATCCATAGACTACAATTACCAAATCATGTACATTAGTGACCCTTCAATGTCAACATGTGCTTGTACACAACCAAGTAAAGGCTTTAGTCTAGACGCTAACGCGCCTTTTACCTTTCATGATGAAACAGTTTTTGCATTGCTAGATTGTGCAACTGATTCATCACCAATCTACAAGTCAAATAATGAAGGGACTAATTCAACTTTCCCTATGTGTGACTCTCAGGGTGCACCTGTTTGTAGTCTTTTGTATTCTTGTCAAGCTATTAGTAGACTTAATTTACCAATTTCAACTTGTTGTGTTTACACACCTGTTGATCTTGGTCCTGCGTTTGAGATGGATTTAACGAAGCTACAATGTTCATCATACTCTGCTTTATATGGTTTTAGTGGCGAAGAATTGAATCCTCAGGCCTGGAAATATGGGATCGCCTTGAAATACAAGTTCAATTTCAATAATGATTACCCTGATATGTGTGCTAATTGTGAGAAAAGCAATGGTGTTTGTGGATATGGAGGACCTTATAGTTCATTTGTATGTAATTGTCCTAGTGGATTCAACACGACGAATGATTGCTTCCTTGGATCATCTTGGAGTAACAGTTTCAAAAATGTTCCATGGCACATTGGTATGTACAACTAATTTTTGTGCTTATATGATATTTTAGTTCTATCGTCTTACAAGAACTAGTGTTTTTTCTTGCAGGAGTTTTGTTGATTAAATCGTTGGGATTGTTCATCGTCTTCGTGTTAATGTAGGATGTTACAATCTTGTTGCTTAATGTTTAATTGATTCATGGAGAATCCTTGATCTTCTTGGTTTGTGGTAAAATGTGAAATAATGGTTAAGAAAACAGGGAGGTTAATGCAAGAGGGTGGATTTTCTTTTTTTGATCATTTTGTAAATGTTGTTATTACATTATGCTAAAATGGTCAATTCAATTTCTTTAGCTTTGTTTGAATAATTGTTCTCTTTAATTTGTTTCCTCCATTTATTTAACTCAAAAAGAGCGAGATTATACTCATTCTTTGATAGAGTGAAAGTTGAACATTGAGCAATGAACAATTGCCATAGGTTTGTGGCCTTATTCCAATGTGAAAAATGATACTTTTGGCATCAACTTTTAGTTGTTTTTGGAATACCAAAGTTTGGACCGGCCTTCTATCCCGATGAATAATTAGGCAGGACATGATTCAAACCTACAATCTTCGGAACATGAATTATATATTTGGACAAGAACACCTCCAGAAAGTTATTCACAAAGTGACAGTTTTTAAGACATCTAAATATACTTTTCAAAATAAGCAGATCTTAAAAGATTAACTAAATAGGTTATAAGATTGAGTCACTTGTGGAATTGAAACAATTATAAAACACTTCTAGAAGTATTCCCAGGGCCTAAACCTATCTTTGATGATGCCATGTACAAAATAATTGGTGGTGACAAAATTAACTCATAAAATATGGCTTGTTTAATCAACCCGCCCAAATTCAAACGCATACAAAAGTTGGATTGATTTAAGCAAAGTACACTAACTAAATTTCCCATGAGGAAACTAATCAAAATATTTAGATATTTTTTAATTTGGTATGTACTTCATAGTTGTAATAAAGAAGAAGAAAAGTTTAATTTGTTAATTAAATAAATTATTAGGAAAAAGAATATAATAAGAGTTGTCGAATTGCACTATGATTCATTATTTAACTCATTTTGATCTAGACCATTTTTGCCAAAATCCCAAATTTCCATTAAAAATATGCAATAACTCATTTATTGATTCAATTCGTTTTGACCTCGCTCGTTTACTACATTCATTGATTAAAAACCACATATTTAAGTGATAACATATTAATATACTCCTAGTATGAAATAGGTCATAATATGTTACACTAGTTGGAAATATAGGGCTATTTTAAGAACTTAGAAGAATCAAATTGGATATATTATTTTATAAAAATAAGATACACAAGAAGTGAAAAGGAATATGTTCCTTCTTTTGAGCACCCTCCACTTTAAAAGAATCATTTTGTTCACCAATATTCTTTCTTTTTATCTCCAAAAAAAGTTCCATGACAATAGTAGGCAAAAAAAAAATTGTTCTCAAATTATTCGAATCCCAAAATTTCATGAAAGTTCACTATGCTTTTTGCCTTTAATTAATGTGTAAAGAATTTTAATAAAAGCATTCTCTAATTAGAGTAATTAATTTGGACCTAATGACTAATGTTGCTTCACTTAGAGACTCCATAAGGTAAAAAAATGTCTTGTCATTACTTTTATTACAATTCTTTATTTGTTTGTAATGAAAACGAAAGAGAAGATCTTTGGATATTTTATTCAGGGGAGAGCTTTCTTGATCACATCATTCTTCAATTCTAAGATGTGGCTAGTCTTTTTGATAGTAGCATATATATGCTCAAGATCTCTCGAGCCGCATATTGTACCGCTTTCTATATTTCATTTTAGGAATAAAGTAAATTTCTTTTTTGTACATGGAGTTTTCTTTCATTATTACGATAGGATGAGAGCAGTGTTTGCCATGAATCTACTTGAATTGATCCCGTTATCAATGAAATCTCATCATTCATACCTAATAATTAACAAAGAGTTGTTTTTTTAGTATGCACCAAATTAACCATCACAAGTTGAAGAAAATATATTGATCTCACTTGTTTATTAGTCAATTTTTGTTACCTTTTCTAAGAAATTGAATTGCTTTACTTTTTTTTCCCTTTTGATCCTTTTCTTAGTAAGAAAACACTAGCATATTTTTATGCTAGCATCTTATCACCCCTCTTCAAGTTTTTTTTTTTTTTTAAAAAAAAAAATGTCAGCATAGAAACATATAGTTGATAATAAAGTACTTTAAAGGATTCCTATCTGGACTAGCTAGATTCTTTATATCTTCATTGTGATAAAAAGCTATATGTATTCTTAGATCATGTTTCTTTAAAACTAAATTTCTAGATTATGGGTTGATGTTAGCAACATGAACTTATATTTGTTTTAATTCGACCTTTTATTCGTGTAGTTTCTTCTTGATGAAATCCTTAATAATATAGTATAAGATTTATTATTTCTTTCAGAAAAATTTCAAAATAAATAAAATCAGATAAGTTTCCTTTCCGCACGGTTCGAAGAGCACTAAATTCGAATATCATACCTCACGGTTCGAAGAGCACGAAACTAGAATGAGAGGTTTGTCATCACATAATTGCATGTCAGGGGAGCTCGCTCGATTCGTTGATTGGTTAGACTCGTAATTCACTTCTGACCTGTGTTCAATTGCCCGATCCTAGTGATATTAATTGTGGTTACAATATAAATAGCTTGATCCATCTTTAATCCATTTCATATATATATGAGAATCCACATAGGAATTCTTATTAAGTTACTAGAAATGAATTATGAAAATTCCTTTTTGATGAACCCTTAATATTATCCTTTGAGTGCGAATAAGGTAAACATCATTCATGTGCAATAACTCGCAAACATTTATGAAAACTTTTAGAGAGAATTTCATTACTTGAAAAATGGATGACCTATTAACCCTACATGATGTAAACACTTGTAGATGTATTCACAAGTAAGGCATAAAGAAAGTTTTGATAATGTCAAAAAAGAATAAGTATAGACATTGTCAATAGATTTTGCAAGTATTGTTCACATGCAAAGGCATTTCTTACTGAAATAGCTTTACTTGAGCCGAAGGTCTTTCAGAAACAACCATTTTGCCTTCACAAGGTAGGGGTAAGGTTTGCGTACGCATCACCCTCCCCAAACCCCACTTGTGGAATTACACAGTACGTTGTTCATTTCTACAGAAATCACATATAGACTTTGAGCAAGAAGGATATCAAGTACTGCATTCATCATATAAAGACCACATAACTTTTGTGATAACTAACAGATGGACATATTGAATTAAAAATAAGATGCACCAGATCAGAATAAGTTCCTTCTTTCACTCCAAAATTTGGTAACACTCGTCGTCTTTCTCCAATAGAGAAAGGTGAAGTCTTTGTACTTTAATGTGAGGAGATTGTTGTTAGGAACGTGGATAATAGTAAGGATAGATGCTGTATATTGTCTGAACAATGGTGAGGGCGAAAAGAAAGATAGCAGCAATGACAGACAAAATGGCCCAGGGACTTCTGAAGTAGGTGTGAATGAGATTGGCTCTCCATTCATTCCACTGCAGCTTGCAATAGTCACTTACCAGTTTGTGTACTAGATCAAGGCTGCTATCTGGATCCAACGTAATGTCCTTCGATAGTGAATTGAATAGCTTAGCCACAGCTTGATCGCTGCCAATTGCATTCTGGATGATGCCACGAGAGTGTAGCAAGCTAACATCTTTGGCATTGTCAATAATATTATCCATGAAGAAGATGTATGAGGTTACTTCATTTCCTGCACCTACATGCAATCTCTCGAAAGCTATTAAGTTCAAGAACATAGACTCTGTTGCATCGTCCACCACGATCAGAGGAAGCTTAAGGATACCACTATGGAAGGAGATGTCCTTGAGGCTTCTAGTTTTACTCATCTTGAACACAATGCCTGCTTCATGAAGCTCCATAGCAGAACGTATTATCTCATCGCCACTACTCTGGTTACTAACTTTGGGTGCTTTCCTTGGACGAGTCTTGGCCAACACAGGAGCTTCCCAAAGTATGCTCTTTCTGTAGACATCCAATACATGGAAACATTTCCCAAGTCCTTTAGCGTGGCTGTGAGGATTGCAGAAGTCCAGTATGAGCTTATTAATACATTGCTCATCGTTCTGCTGAATGCAATCAAGGAGTAACCCTTCACTCTGTAAGGGGAATTAGATTAGAAAAGGTCACTAATCAATGTTGAAGTGGTTAACTAAATAAAAAAGTGTCACGTAAAATAGCTTAAACTTTAAGAGGAGACGTGAGCACGTGTTTAAGAGAGGGAGATAAACACCTTTTCCTCTTGATTTTCAATGGCAAGTAATCTTTCCAAAAGGAGCATAGGCAACTGATTTTCAAGCATCAGCATATCGCGTTTGAGATAAGGCATGAGATGGAGCTTCCCATGATTGCTGAAAATCGGATCATTAAGAGCATAGTCATACTGTTGAGGATGCTGAGATTGATCTATAAGCAGACTATCAGCAGCAGCTGTTCTCAAGATCTCCAGCATGAAACAACCATCAAGAATCATCAACCGTAAGAAGGCATTGGTATCATTTTGCCATACAGGATCCAGCAAATCATATGCATCTTTCAAATCTTGAGCCACTTGTTGTAAGGAGTCAATATAACATGTTAATGATTTTCCAGATCTCTTGAGGAAATGAAGAAGAGCTCGGTGCTTATGAACTTCCATCGTCTTGAGATGATCTGCACCATGATGGTAAGGACCAAAAGAAACTACTTGAGGTTTGTAAGCTTTCTTGCTCACATCTGTGACACCAACAGGCACTCTATATATGGACCGCTTCTTCCAGTGCTCTGCCTCGACAGTTGTAAGATCCTCCACGTGCATCAGCTCATCGTTTACCTTGATCACCCACTCATTTTCCATTTCAAATAGATTCAAGTACTATAGTATGTATCAAGAGATAAAAACACTATTATTTGTGAGTAGTGGACTAATTTAGAGGCACAATTATGAAACACAAATAATAATGATGTACAAGTTTCAAGACAAGAGACCCTTATACTTTGTGAACACATTGGTATTTCTTATTTCCCCTCCCCAGAAGTAAGCTCCAAACTTTGTCTTTCTGCAAGCTTAAAAATACCTTGATTATGCAGCTCTTTCTCAACTTCTTTGTCTTCTCTTTATATATGCTTTGCTTGTACAATAGGATAATTCAGAGTGTCTCTTAGCTGGTGGTAAGCTTCAGTTGCACCTCTATTATACCAGGATTGCAATATTTAGGTTTCTTGATAACAAGGCAACTGTTTTACTGTTCTATTTTCTGGTCAGAAATTCTAGCACTTTTGATCAGCCTATACCATTTTTTCGCCTTCACTCTCATATGTAACCCGTCAGCAATGCAACATAGATAAAAAGAACTATAATATTGGAGGCTGTTTCTGTAGAACTACATATGGATACACCACCTCTAAGTCTGTTAACGTTAGCAAGATCAGAACTCTCAAAGTTGCTGACATTAACCTTAAAGACTTCCCTTAAGGGAACACAAAAAAATTAAGGTATCACCAACTAGGAGAAATGTTTTTCAGATCTGGGACAGCCCAAAATAGTCAGAGTTGACAGGCACATAGAAGAATGTAAATTGCAAAATGAGATTGAAAATGAGCCATTCACCCTTGAATTTTATATTGTAAGAGCTTAAGCTATCATTGTTTTCATACAGTTTCACAAGACTGATGTGTCAACTAGCCTGGGGTACAAGACTGGAGCCCTAACAAAAGAAGCAGCTAATGAATGAATCAAGTAAATATAATAATAGCACGATAGGCTAATTTACTCGAGCTATATGTACAAGCTCTTCCCGGGAACTTATCTTGTCTTGCTTCCTTTTCAGCATTGCCTAACACTAGCTAACAGGGTATGCGCCTTGTCATCTATCTTGTCTCGTTTCCTTTTCAGAGTTGCCTAACACTAGCTAACAGGGTATGCCTTGTCATCTCACGTTACAGCACTGAGGTTTCCCTTGGTTCAGCAACTTTCTCCACAGGCAGATCATTTGCCTTGGAGATTGATAATGTGCAGTGTAATAATCATCAATGCACCCAAACTGACAAAACTTCAAGCTATGCACGTACTCTACGGCCCTTGAGCTGTTGAACTGTTCTACCCACATTCCCATGCTCACGTCCTCCATCTTAAACAACTGCAGCGGGTCAAATATATGTTAGAATTATTTTTCTGTTCAGGTTAGGAATATTTCACAAAGCAGATCAAGGTAACTTACCCTCAGCTTATGTTTCTCAAACTCGGAAACTACATACTCTGCGATGTCAAATGAGATGATGTAACCAGGCCCATTGGCGTAGGGTGGATAATCTTCTTCAGGCCATTCCTGTCAACCCCCAGGGGAAAACTGAATGTCAGTAACTAGTGAATGTATAAGAGGTTCAGGACATAAAGCAATTCATTACATATGAAGCAACTAAGGTTCTTGATAAATCCTCTCATAACCAGAATCTATCAAAATACAAGAAAGGGAGAAGAAAGTGATGGTTGCAATGGGCTTGGTATCGAACGTAGTACAACGCCAGTATAAGGCCGGATCAAACCAGGGATACAAAAGACCAAGCATACTTTTCCATGGCAGTCCCATTTCAAATTAAGGTGTCAAGGGCCATCTTTTGGCTTAAACCTTCTATTAGCTGACCCTACACGGATGAACTCTTCACTGCCATTCCAGTAAAAAAGAAACTTTTCTACAGATTGAGATTTGCATCATTACTATGTTGGAGCTTGGTGCCTTTTGGTTTGTTGCTGCTCACTTAGTGGGCTGCTTTGGTAACTTCTACCATCTACTGTTAGCATGCAAGACAAGGGCTAGTTTCAATGGTAGTCCTTCGGCATGCACTCTCAAGGATATATAAGGGTTATGATTTACCATGTGAAATCAGAAGAAACTGCAAATATAGACTATCAATTACAATGCCTCAACCCCCTCCTGGAAGTCAGTAGACTACAGAAATTTGAAGTGTAATACTAACAAAGTGAGAGAGTCTACCTCATAGGTGACTGCCCATTTACCATGTCGAAGGGGCTTATGGTAGTAATTGATGTTACCAACATACAGGCTTCTACCTCTAGGGACTTTCTTAACTTCCTTCATCACAGCATCAATCCTTACAAATGTGTCATCATCACACTTCATTACATACTTTGCCGCAACTGTACGGACCTGGAATATACCACGAGTACATAAATGTTAAAAGGATGAGAAAATCTGATGTGATAATGAGCATAATCCTATTTTATCCTTGCACTTACCCCATATTCACAGATTGCTACTGTCTTCAATACAACAAGATCGTAATTGTCCATGTATGGGACTATAACTATATCGCCAAAAAAATCTGCTTCTTTCATGAGCTCCACATTTATCTCTTTTCTTCCATGCTGCAACATTTCAATTCAACTATAAGCACATGCAAGGCTCCAAATATGAGATATTGCTTTCATCAATGGACACTTGTATCTAAGCCAAGTCTTACCATTGCCACAAAAAAACGGGCTACTACATTTGAAGACTTAAGTGATGGATGCTGCATCCAAGATTTTCTCACAGCCATTCTCTCAGAAAAATGATTCCCTGCAGAAAGGATGCCAATAAAAAGCTCTACAGGTTCATCTGGAAGTGGCGGAGCTTGCCACTTGGGTAACATTTCTAAATGCCTCTGTGGAGCAAAACTTGGATGCGTTGAAGGTAATGAAGCAGCAAATACAGAATGCACGTCAATATCCCCATTAACAAACAGACCGGTCGCATCCTCAAGAGTAAAACCCTATCAACCATAAGAAAATGTTTAAACCGATATGCATCACAAAAAGGCATTAAGATAAAGTAATTTTAGACAATACTCACAGTGCGATAAGGAAAGGAAGTAATATGTCTCCCATCTACATTGATGTGATAACCTTCTAAGCCAGCACTGACAGTAAGCACAAACAACTTCTTCTCTACAAAAGGGTATGGCCAGTCAATTGAAACCTTCTTTGTCCTCCCACCAATCAGTCTCTTCAACCACCACGTGGCCTTTGATTCTTCAGAGTGATCATCATCATCACGTATCCACTTCTCACATTTCACCTGTCCGTCCACTTCATTCATTCCACAGCAAATCACAAACACGGACAATACTAAGTGAGAATCTTAACCATTACCATGCAACAGCACAGTATACTATACATGAGAAATCAATCATTAACATTCAATTAGTTGAGGTGTGTGCAAGCTGGAACAGACACCAAAGCTATTTTTTTTAAAAAGCTCCGAATTCAGCTTGATCAAGTTTTATACTGATCAGACACAGCTGGTTCAATCATCTATAACAATATCTAGCAAAATTTCTGGTTAGTAAGAATTCATCTCAGACAGCCACAGAGAAGTTCAAAGTCTTCCCTTCCATATATATAGTTGTAAAATTGGACATTTAACAACCAAAAATAGCAACACAACTACATGAGAATCTTAATAATTCCAACACTTCCTAAAGAAGAAGTGCAAGCATGAAGCAACCATGTAAATAACAACCACTCAGCATACGGATTGACTACAACTTAATCTCAAACTAAGTGGGGTCAGCTATATCAACACCATTGTATTCTAATAAGACTCGTTTCATTACAATACTGGTTTAATAATTTCTCTTTTAAGGAAAATTTGTGGTTCACTATAACTCATTTCATTCCAAAACTAGGAAATTAATTTCTCTTTAAGGCTAATTAGCATTTCACAAAAAACTAGAGTTTCTCTTAATATGAAACTTACCCGTACCAATACATAATACAGGTGCAACAACGATTACGACCAAACAATTAACGAATACAAAAAGGAAAAGCATTGCATTAACAACATAAATTCCTCACCAGTGTCCTCACTAGGCTTGGATTTCCAACCGTCACACCTCATCGCAGACCCCCACTGCATCCTATAACACGTATTCTGCTCGATCACTGGCCTTCCACTCCAATCCCCTTTCAACCTCGGATTGAAATGCAGTATTCTTGGAGGGTCCTCACCATCAACTGTCTTCAATCCTTGCAACTCCATCATAAACTGTGAAACCATCACAATCTCATCATCATCCTTCACCAATGTAATTTTAGGATCCTTCTCTTCATGGGCCCACCGAGGCGTCCCCACCACTGTTATATGAGACCCTAAAGTCATTCCACAAGGTATCACCATAATCTTCCCACCAGCCACAAACTCACTACCCCACAAAGACACCGAGTCAGGACACGACTCAGTCCGATTCTGAGTCCCACTCACTACCTCCCCCTGAACTTTCCCCGATTCGATATCCTGAAACAGTTTCTTCCCAGCTACAAAAGCATCCCTAACAACCTTATGCAGCTCAGAAAACTCTTCCTTATCAAAACTATCAAACACCTTCTCATCAAAAACCAAACCTGAAATTCTCTTAAACTCTACCATCTTCCTATGAGGTAATGAAAACCCCATTTTAGCTCTCCTTGACATAACCCTTGAAGGAAAAACTGAATCTTGACTCGAACCACTCAACTCACCAACACTATTAAGCCTGCTAAACTTGGAATTATTATCAAAAGGTGTAGAAATAAGTTCATAGGATTCTAACCCAAACCCAAGTTTAGAAATCAAAGGTATTTCCAAAGTAACCAAGAAAAAATACAAAAACAACAAACCCATCAAAACTTGAATCGATCTGAGTCGACTCACTGACATTACAGAGTCGAACTTAGCTCGTTTCATTTCAACCCCAAATCAAAACAAAAAAAATAAATATCAAAACTTTCTTTCTGGGGTTCTTTCTTTATAGCATAAAGAACAATTCTTTTCAACAAAACTGAAAAACAAACAGATCAAAAACCAAGAACAACAAAACCCAAGAACCCTAATAGTTCATCAACTCAAATGAACTCAAATTTTTTCACAAATTTTTACACTTTTTATATCCAAATGTAGAAAACATTTAACATTTGGTCTGAAAAAAGTTTTGATTTTTTGAAGTGTGAACAGATCATTTTGCACTGTGATTGAGGCTGGCTTTGGCCGTTGTGAAGTGGGGTTCAGAAATGTAATAAGAATGAAAAAACGACACTGTTTTGCTGTAAGAATCTGATAAAACGCTGTCGTTTTCACTGAAAAAATGCGTTACGGTTTATTAATTATTCCGATTAAGATAAACTGAAAACTCTTCAGGTTTTAAAAAAATTAAAACTTGTGATCTTTATTAAAATAATTAAATGTAGAGATATGTTTTTCTTAAGTTTGTTGTCTTAAATATGTTATATGAAAAGTTGAAATTAAATAATTGTCGAAAAGGAAAAAAATATTTTTTAAAAATATATTAAAGAAAAGTAGAACAAACAAATTAAAATTTAAGAGTAATAATAATTAATATAACTTCCTTTGTTTCAGTTAAACTTCTGTTCTTAAATAAATTGTGGCATTTCTATGGCTATGAATTGTTTATTAAAATATAAAAAAGGTTATTTGTTTATTTTGAGAATCGAATTTGAGAAGTGGATT